TGCCCCCTTATGCTCAATAACTGGATTGACATCTTTAGCTGCAATGACTGCAACCAAATGCTTCCTGTAGTTGTTGATCAGTCTCTCACATCGCTTCTTCCATGCAGAACTTCTTTAATTCAGCGACATTTTAGGGTTTTCGAGCATGAACTACACGTTTCAGGTCCTGCCACAACATCTCAATTGGGTTTAGGTCTGGGCTTTGACTAAGCCATTCCAAAACGTTTAATTTGTTGCTTTTCAGTCATTCTGATGATTGCTGGTGTGTTTTGGATCTTGCTGCATGACCCAGCTGTGCTTCAGCTTCTGCTCACGGATGGATGGCCTGCATTCATGGTTCCTTCAATGATGGCAAGTCGTCCAGGTTCTGAGGCAAGCCAAACACTGCATTCCACAGTAAGAACCTCATACCAATGGTCAAGCATGGTGGTGGTAGTGAGATGGTTTGCTGCCTCAGGACATGGACGACTTGCCATCATTGAAGGAACCATGAATGCTGCTCTGTATCAGTTCATTCTGAAGGAGAATGTCAGGCCATCCGTCCTTGAGCTGAAGCGCACCTGAGTCATGCATTCCTCCACAGCGATGTGCGTGAATAATCAACAACTACAGGAAGCGTTTTGTTGCAGTCATTGCAGCTAAAGGTCGCACAACCAGTTACTGAGTATGAGGAGGCAATTACTTTTTCACACAGGGGCATTGGGTGTTGCATAACTTTGTTAATAAAATTAAAATAATTATCAAAATGCAGTGTTATTCATTCACTCAGGTTCCCTCTATCTATTATTAGGTTTTGGGTGAAGATATAAAAACATTCAGAGTAAAAAATATGCAAAAGTAGACAAAAACAGAAAGAAGGCAAATACTTTTTTCACTGCACTTTATGCACACAGTCACACACACACATATGCATGTATAAAGACATACACACACAATCACACCCTTGTACTCAAACACACACACACACACACACACCCACAGTACAGTTCTATCTAAGTTGCATTAGCCTGCCCTGGAGAATGAAAGCACAGAAGTTGGTAAACATAATAATATGCCATTTAGCAGACGCTTTTATCCAAAGCGACTTACAGTCATGTTCGCATACATTTTTACATATGGGTGGTCCCGGGGATCAAACCCACTACCCTGGCGTTACAAGCGCCATGCTCTACCAATTGAGCTACAGAGGACCATCGACCATCTACGGCATGAACCATAGATTATTTTAACGCAGCACAAAATCACATTAACTTCTGCCTTCAGCAATAACATGTGACTACAGTATAGCCTGCTATATCTGGTATAGAGTTCAGTGCAGAGCAATAGGCTGTATCCTAAATAACACCCTATATAGTGTACTACTTTTGACATTTACATTTACCCATAGAGCTCTGGTCAAAAGTAGTACACTATATGGCTAATATTGTGCCATTTGGGACACAAGCAGAGACTCTGTTACAGAGGAATGAGGGTGTTAGAGCTGTACTTTGTATAACCTTTATTTTAATACAGGAAGTCATATAGAGATAAATAATCTATTTTCCAAGGGAGATCTAGGCCTAAATAGGTTAGCGTAACCAGAAGCTTTTCAATAGGACGTGGCAATAGCTTTAAATGTTACACACATAGCACTAACATTAAACAGTACACAATATACAGTGAGGGAAAAAAGTATTTGATCCCCTGCTGATTTTGTACGTTTGCCCACTGACAAAGACATGATCAGTCTATAATTTTAATGGTTGGTTTATTTGAACAGTGAGAGACAGAATAACAAACAAAAAAATCCAGAAAAACGCATGTCAGAAATGTTATAAATTGATTTGCATTTTAATGAGGGAAATAAGTATTTGACCCCTCTGCAAAACATGACTTAATACTTGGTGGCAAAACCCTTGTTGGCAATCACAGAGGTCAGACGTTTCTTGTAGTTGGCCACCAGGTTTGCACACATCTCAGGAGGGATTTTGTTCCATTCCTCTTTGCAGATCTTCTCCAAATCATTAAGGTTTCGAGGCTGACGTTTGGCAACTCGGTGGTGCTAAAACATTGAATGTTGGATATACACTTGAAGTCGGAAGTTTACATACACTTAGGTTGGAGTCATTAAAACTCGTTTTTCAACCACTCCACACATTTCTTGTTAACAAACTATAGTTTTGGCAAGTCGGTTAGTACATCTACTTTGTGCATGACACAAGTAATTTTTCCAGCAATTGTTTACAGACAGATTATTTCACTTATAATTCACTGTATCACAACTCGAGTAGGTCAGAAGTTTACATACACTAAGTTGACTGTGCCTTTAAACAACTTGGAAAATTCCAGAAAAGTATGTAATGGCTTTAGAAGCTTCTGATAAGCTAATTGACATCATTTGAGTCAATTGGAGGTGTACCTGTGGATGTATTTCAAGACCTTCCTTCAAACTCAGTCCCTCTTTGCTTGACATCATGGGAAAATCAAAAGAAATCAGCCAAGACCTCGGAAGAAATATGGTAGACCTCTACAAGTCTGGTTCATCCTTGGGAGCAATTTCCAAACGCCTGAAGGTACCACGTTCATCTGTACAAACAATAATACGCAAGTATATACACCATGGGACCACACAGCCATCATACCGCTCAGGAAGGAGACGCGTTCTGTCTCCTAGAGATGAACGTACTTTAGTGCGAAAAGTGCAAATCAATCCCAGAACAACAGCAAAGGACCTTGTGAAGATGCTGGAGGAAACAGGTACAAAAGTATCTATATCCACAGTAAAACGAGTCCTATATCAACATAACTTGAAAGGCCACTCAGCAAGGAAGAAGCCACTGCTCCAAAACCGCCATAAAAAAGCCAGAATACGGTTTGCATCTGGACAAAGATCTTACTTTTTGGAGAAATGTCCTCTGGTCGGATGAAACAAAAATATAACTGTTTGGCCATAATGACCATCGTTATGTTTGGAGGAAAAAGGGGGGGGGGCTTGCAAGCAAAAGAACACCATCCCAACTGTGATGCATGGGGGTGGCAGCATCATGCTGTGGGGGTGCTTTGCTGCTGGAGGGACTGGTGCACTTCACAAAATAGATGGCATCATGAGGAAGGAAAATTATGTGGATGTATTGAAGCAACATCTCAAGACATCAGTCAGGAAGTTAAAGCTTGTTCGCAAATAGGTCTTCCAAATAGACAATGACCCCAAGCATACTTCCAAAGTTGTGGCAAAATGGCTTAAGGACAACAAAGTCAAGGTATTGGAGTGGCCATCACAAAGCCCTGACCTCAATCCTATAGAAAATGTGTGGGCAGAACTGAAAAAACGTGTGTGAGCAAGGAGGCCTACAAACCTGACTCAGTTACACCAGCTCTGTCAGGAGGAATGGGCCAAAATTCACCCAACTTATTGTGGGAAGCTTGTGCAAGGCTACCGGAAACGTTTGACCCAAGTTAAACAATTTAAAGGCAATGCTACCAAATACTAATTGAGTGTATGTAAACTTTTAACCAATTGGGAATGTGATGAAAGAAATAAAAGCTGAAAGAAATAATTCTCTCTACTATTATTCTGACATTTCACATTCTTAAAATAAAATGGTGATCCTAACTGACCTAAGACAGGGAATTCTTACTAGGATTAAATGCCAGGAATTGTGAAAAACTGAGTTTAAATGTATTTGGCTAAGGTGTATGTAAACTTCCAACTTCAACTGTAGCTAGAATGTACAGTGTTTAAACTGGGACTGGCATTATTTGAATTGGGCGCTTACACTTATTTGAAGTGCACTTCTCAGGAGTAGTCAGCAGTAGGTAGTAGACACTGTACCCTTTTACAGCACTTATCTCTACTCAGTGCGCAACTGATTAGACCCAGTCCTTCATTGGAAGGGAATTTCATTAGACATTGATTATTCTGTATCTCAGTGACTGATTTAACCTGGTTCCAGATCTGTTTGTACTGTCTTGCCAAGGCAATATGGCAAATGTCATGCAAAACCACTCATACAGATCTGGGACCAGGCTAGAGTTGATATATAATCAATATTCAACCAATTACTCCTATAGACTCCCCAAGGTCATATTAAAGATGATGCATGAACTTTAACTACAGTAATCAATGGTTGGAATCACCTACAGTAAATAATTTGGCTCTGCAGCTTGAATAGTTAATTAGGGTTGTGTATCTTAATAAGTCCTGACCTGGGCTAAGTAGAATCATCCATGCCACTGACCCTGAACAACATCTGCTGACCTCTTAGTTAGATACATTTCAGGTGTAGAAATACCCCTGTGGTGCAACTTTCATTTTGTGTACCACAGTTTGTACTTCTAGCTCTGTACTCTAGCTCTGTTCTCTCTCACTATAGCTCTCTTCTCTCTCTCATTTGCTTCTCTGCATTCTTGGTTCTCATTTCCGCTCTTCTCGCTATCCCCTCTATCCTCTCTCTCTCTCCTCTCTCTCTCTCAGTCCTTCTCCTGCCCGCTCTTCTCGATTTTCTCTTCGGCTCCTCTCTCTCTCTCGTTCTCCTCCTTCACTCGCTCTCTCTCTCTCCTCTCTTCCTCTCTCGCTCCTCTCTATCGCTCTCTCGCCCCACTCTCTTCCTCCTCTATCTCCTCTCGTCTCGTCTCCTCTCTCTCTCTCTCTCTCTCTCTCTCTCTCTCTCTCTCTCTCTCTCTCTTTCTCTCTGCCTCTCATTTGACTGTTAGTCCACTTCCAATTATTTTGGCCACATTCTTTCACAGTTTGTTTTTCTTTCCCTCCCTCCATCCCCCCTTTTCCAATCTCTCTCTCCCAGAAACCCCCTCCTGGCCCTCTCTCCCCAGCCATCCTTTTCTTTTTCCACACACTCGTTTTACCCTCCCTCCTTTCTTTCTCTCTTTCTCTACCCATCAAAATCAGTATTTTTAAAAAGCTCTCTGCACAATATGCTTTCTGTGAGGGGGATCTCACTATAATTATTGTCAGATGACTTTGAGAGATTACGAGAGAGGGAGAAAGAGAGTAGGAGAGAGGAATGGAGAAAGGAGAGAACATGATGAAAGGAGAGCGGTAAAAGAGGAAACACGGAGAGGGGGAGGGAGAAAGAGAGGGAGGGAGGTAGGAAGAGAGAGAAAAAAGGTTATGGGTTGCCATGCCGACAGTCTTGTATAAAAATAAACAGTGTGTTGCTTGCTCTCTGCTATGCCACCCTCCACCTCTCTGGCAGACCTATTGTGCATGTGCGTCTGTGTGCATGTGCGTGGATGTGCGTGTATACGTGTATGACCGTGTGTGAGTGCGTGTGTGTGCATGTGCCCGTTCAAGTGCATGTGCATGGGCGTGTGTGTGTGTGTGTGTGAGTGAGAGTGAGCAAGACTGAGTGAGTGAATGGGAGCCCAATCTGTACACTATAGGGAATATATTGGGCAATAGGGTGCCATTTGGGGCGCAACTTTAGCATTCACTGGAACTCCAGGAATTGTCTGACACTCCCCAGACCATGCAACAGGAAGGTGTGTGTGTGTGTGTGTGTGTGTGTGTGTGTGTGTGTGTGTGTGTGTGTGTGTGTGTGTGTGCGTTTGTGAGTGGGACAAGCCAGCTGTTTAACACAAACACAGACATAGCAGCAGCCTTTTAATGTCCGGTTATGGATTAACTCTCTCTCTCTCTCTCTCTCTCTCTCTCTCTCTCCTCTCTCTCTCTCTCTCTCTCTCTCTCTCTCTCTCTCTCTCTCTCTCTCTCTCTCTCTCTCTCTCTCTCTCTCTCTCTCAGGGCTCAGAGGCAGTGGAAGATTGTGTGCAGGGGGCTCTCTCGTCCCTCTACCCCCCCTTTGAGAGCACAGCCCCGCCTCTCCTCTCTCAGGTAAACACACACACACACACACACAGACGTTTACATGTGTGCTTATCCATGTATAGCTTACATGTGTGTGTGTTTGACTATCTGTGCAGGTTTTCTCTGTGTTGGAGTCGACTTATCAGCATGACAGTCTGAGGTACCTACTGGACTACTTCATCCCAGCAAAGCACCTTCTGCACAAACTACAGCAGCATGCCTGTGTGAGTACACACACGCACACACACACGCGCGCGCACGCACACACACACACACACCACTCCCAACAACGTAACAATAAACATACACACACATGCACACCTATACATTGTCGCTCACTTAGTCTCCGTAACTCCCTCTCACACATACACAAATAAACAGACCTGAACACATTCTTTCTTTCACACACACATTGGGGAACATTCTCACCAACATTCCCCCACGTTGTGATGTTCACACACAAACACACACACACAACACACACACACACACACACACACACACACAAACAAAAACACACAAACACACACACACACACACACACAAAACCACACACTCAAAGTGGTCTCTGTTTTCATTGTCGCTCAGTGAAGCAACCTGGGACGGGAGTAGGAGCATGAGTCATGACAATCATTCTTTCCATATGTGACTGCTGTGCACTGGAAGAGAGGGAGGAGAAAGAGAGAGATGGGGGTTGGGTGCAGGCCCAGGGTGTGGGGGAGTGAGGGAGAAAATAGACATGGGGCAGTCATTTCACTGTGGGAAAGTGTGTGTGTGCGGACGTGCAGACGTGCGTGTGTGTTTGAGTCGTAGACTATAGAGAACTGATTGAGAAATGGGGGAGGGAGAGTGTGACAGAACACTGGGGTACATTGAAGGAGAAAGAGGAGGTGAGTGTGTGTGGGTGAGGGGGTAGATAGAGAGATAGAAATACATGAGTGAAGGATTGATACTCAAAACAGAGGAATGCAGGAGTTATGTTATGTATGGGGGTTGGGGAGATGTGGGGGTCTATATTAAGAATAAGAGTTTCCAATGTCAATGAACAGAATACGACAGAAAAGGAGAGAGTAAGAAAAACAGAGTCAGATGGAGGTAAAGGGAGAGAGAGAAATAGAGTGAGAGAGAAAGAGAGTGAGAGAGATGCAGAAAGAGGGGGAAGCAGGGCCAGGAATATAATTTGATAATGGTCTCGTGATTCGGGGGGACATTGGATGAATCGAAGCGGAGGGGGAGGGAGGGCACATGTCATTGGCTAATTGGGGAATGAGAACAGCCAGGGGATTATAACAGAGTTTATTCCTCACAGCACGACACACGGTTGAAGGGAAGGAAGAGTAGGGAATAAGGAAGGTAGGTACAGGATAGATTTACATCTGTTGTGGTGCAGTTTATGGGGCATTGACACTCTCGTGGGAGGCAGTACTGGTTCAGGTATTTGTGTTTTCTTTAGGTATTTCATAGTATTTCATATGACTTCTTTGGCTCTCTCTCAGAATCTCTGTGATGTGACTCCTCTCTGATTCTCTCATGCCTGTTTGACTGTGACTCTGTATTGCTCTGTTCCCGTCTCGGTCTTGATTGCTGGTCAGTGTGTCTCTAATTGACACTGTCCACCCTGTTTTAAGTCTCATTCCAGATACCCTGACAATACCTCAATATGTTACTGACTCATTCTCTCTCCTCTCTCTCTCTCTCTCTCTCTCTCTCTCTCTCTCTCTCTCTCTCTCTCTCTCTCTCTCTCTCTCTCTCTCTCTCTCTCTCTCTCTCTCTCTCTCTCTCTCCCAGTCTCAGTATCTGGGCTGTCTGTTCCTCCACTCCGGTTGGCCCCTCTGCCTCGGAGAGAAGGTTGTGGTCCAGCTCTCTACTCTGGACTGGAGGCTGCTGCGCAGTACCGACTTCTACTTGCAGGTGGTTCCCTTCTCCACACGTTGCCCCCGCCTGGCCCTCAAGTGTTTGGCCCCCGGGGGCCGCAACGTTCAGGAGGTCCTAGTGCCCGAGTCACAGCACCCCCTGGTGTTCACTACAGAGTGGCTGCACAGTGTCAACAAGGAGAGGGGCTACAAGAGAGAAGGTGAGAGATGCAGGGAGGGAAGGGAGGGAGGAAAGGAGGGAGTGTGGGAAAGGAGAAAGGGGTTGACGTAAGAGAGCGTATGAGAGAACGAATAGATTTAAGTGTAGAAAGATGAGCAAAAAGATACGGAGTTGTTTGACATGAATTTCTCTGTCTGTCCCTTTCCTCTCTCTCCATCCCTCCCTCTCCCTCCCTCTCCCCTTTATCTCACTCCTTTCCCCTATCTTTCCCCTATTTCTCCTTCCCTCCTCTCTTACTCTCTTTCCTCCCTCTCTTTCTCAGGAGGTGGAGGGTTAGACACATGTCTGGTTAGTACTTGTGACGGGGTGGTCCGCCTTCCGTGGGAGGAGGTGGTCTACCCCAAGTTCATCCACAACCCATCGGACAACCTGACTACCATGGCTGACCACCCAACCTCCGTCCCCGACCACACCACCAACCTCACCCCGGTGGTGGGCCTCGGCCTGGGTGGCTGGGGGGGCTCCTCCTCTGGAGAACCAGACTCCTGTTCCTGGGACGAAGAAGACGATGACCTACCTTTAGATAGTGTAGATGCAGAGGCCGCTCTACCCCGCCGACGGTGCAGCGAGGACGGGTTGGGGAGGACGACGAGGCACCACCAAATAGGTGGTGATGGGGACTACGTGGAACTCCTGGAGCCCAGGGGGGGTCCGGACGGTGGCGCGGATCCCAGGCAGAGGTACCTTGAGATGCATGGGATCTGTAAGACCAAGACACTGCCGCTGTGTAGGAGGAGCAAGGCTATCAAGCTCCGCAGAGGGAAGGCCTGGGGGTACGGGCGACTGGACGCAGCCGGGGGCAGTAGGGGGGTTCTGGCGGGTAAGAGGGACCCCGTGACCCCCCGGGGGGACTGGTTACCCCCCCGCCCCCTGCCTAGAGTCATCGATCTAGGCCGGGCGAGGCGGTCTGGGTCGTATCCCCCCTCGCTTCAGAACTCCGATGAAGGGGAGCAACAGGGCCTAGGAAAAGACCCAGAAGGCCTAGGAAGCCAGGGGGCTGTATTTTGAGGGTCCGTCCAAGGAGAGGAGGCCCGGGGTGGGCAGGGAGAGGGACGGCAGTGGGTGTAATGTTACACAGCCATGCAGGGACAGCCATGGTAGCTACAGTTTGGTAGCGACCGAGACAGTCAATCACAAAGCAGCGCACGTTGTAGAGGGCCAATCGGATCAAGGCTCTCACTCTGAATCTGTGTTTGAGGATGCTGATAAGCCACTGAGTGGAGACAGCGACACCATGCCCACTTCAGACACACGAGGAAGTGGGGAGAATGCTGCGAGGCCATTGGTTGATATTCCAGGAAATGGGGAGAACGTGGACAGCCCATTGGCAGTTGGATCTGAAACCCAGAAAGGAAGACATTCCACTAGTGACTCTTGTTTACCAGACGAAACAGCAGACTCGATAGAACACAGAGAGACGGGACGTTCTCTCTCTCGACCCGGTACTGACGCTGACCCAAAGGGAGCAACAACTTCAGAAGAGAGGGAGGAAGTAAAGACGGAGGAGACAGGAGTGTGTCCTAGAGGAAAGGAAGTAAAGACAGAGGAGACAGGAGTGTGTCCTAGAGGAAAGGAAGTAAAGACAGGAGGATTCAGGGCACCCAGGTAACTTCATAACTTCTTATAATGATGTAATCAGTTCTTAATTTGTAAATTGGGAGGTGTCGGAACAAAAAGTGAGCCGAGAGGGGGGTGACCTGGGGGTCTCTGAGGTAATGTAACACATAAAAAAAATATATCACCTTTATAATAAAGCAATAATAAGGCATTGCATGCATTATCATCGCTTTTGCGTGCTGGCATAGAGTAGTAGAGTAGAGGCGCTTGCAGAAGTTGCACACATGGGAAAATGTGGCCCTTTATAAACAAATTTCATGCAATTCTACATAATTTTAGATTACTGGCGACATTAGCAGAATATTTTTTAATACCTCACATATGATCAAAATGACAGGCTACTTTGACACTGACAAACTGAGAATCTGAGATCAATAAAAACGAACTTGTCTTCAATACATCAAAGTCTAGGCCTCGGTGTGTGGAGACACACATATTGTACAATATGAGGAGGAAATTATAGTCCTAAAAAAGCTTTCCAGTTTCACTGACTCACCCACTGATACGCAGCTCACTCACCTGCGTGTTTTACTTTGTAAAACAATGCTGTTCGCTCAATAGGTCTATTGGAAATTAATAACATATTTGGTAGCCTGCAGACCAGTGGCCATCAGTGCCATTTAAGATGAGGGAGGATGTTATTTTTTTATGTGCATGGCCTTATTTCTATTACAGCATATTGGATGACTATCATTCATATTCCATTCACCCAGCTCAATGTAACATCGATAGGTTTAGCCTACTACATACCCTATACCCATCATGAGGTTGCTACAACCTAGCTTACGAATGAAAGTTTACAACATAGGTGCACAGGTCGAAAGAAAAATGTGAGTAATCAAGGTGACAGACAGTGACACATTCAATACTGCCTTGCACACTCTTGCCTGCATCTAGCTGATCTAGGGTGTAATCATTAGTGCAACAGTTGCAAACGAGAGTTTCTATTGGGCAAATTCAGGTATGTTTATCCCGGGAATGAATACACCCCTGATCACACGCAAACACAGTTCACTTTCATAGCAGCCACATACAAACAGCATGCTCACTTTGCTCGTTGTATAATTCCTTCTCGCATCTACGTGCTCTCGTCCTTTCACCTTTTCCCTTCCCTTGTGGACTTCAGTGCACAATACAACAGCTGTCTGTGACCAGGCGAAAAAACTTTCCAAGCCAAACCTTCATATCATAACCGCTAACTGCTACACACAGCCTACATCGTTGTCACCATATTAGCTAACGTCATAGTCAACATAGCTTCTAAAACTAATGCGTTAGTACCCGCTACAATCATGCATTACAGTATACAGCAAGCAGTTACACCGGTGGGCCCCAGTGGCAGTAAATTAATAAAACAAAAAGCTTACCTTGACATGGAAGAGTTCCAGTGTTGGATAGCCATAGCTAGCTAACATAGCATCACTCTCTGTTTGAGCTGGGTGTTTGAGTAGGCTAAACTAGCTAGCGGCATTTTCTAGCTAAGTAAGCGAAGGGTAAAAAAATCCAACGAATATATAGATACTAAGCGATCTAATACTCTAGAGAGAGCAAGAGAATCCCGAGCAGCTCTCGAGGCGAGCTATACTACTCGAGCATCTATCAGCGAAGCTCTCCATCTTATCACTCTCTCTATTCTCTCTCTCTCTCTATCTCTCTCTCTCGCTCTCTCTCTCTCTCTCTCTATATCTCTTGCTTCTCCTTCATTTTTGAAGAAATTAAGTTGTTCAAAACTTTTGTATTTTTGTATTTTTGTATTTTTTTTATTTCACCTTTATTTAACCAGGTAAGCCAGTTGAGAAGTTCTCATTTACAACTGCGACCTGGCCAAGATAAAGCAAAGCAGTACAATAAAAACAACAACAACACAGAGTTACATATGGAATAAACAAAAACGTACAGTCAATAACACAATAGAAAATAAAAAATATATATACAGTGTGTGCAAATGTAGTAAGTTATGGAGGTAAGGCAATAAATAGGCCATAGTGCAAAATAATTACAATTTAATATTAACACTGGAGTGATAGATGTGCAGAAGATGATGTGCAAATAGAGATGCTGGGGTGCAAATGAGCAAAATAAATAACAATGTATATAACAATATGGGGATGAGGTAGTTGGGTGGGCTAATTACAGATGGGCTGTGTACAGGTACAGTGATCGGTAAGCTGCTCTGACAACTGATGCTTAAAGTTAATGAGGGAGATAAGTGTCTCCAGCTTCAGAGATTTTTGTAGTTCGTTCCAGTCATTTGCAGCAGAGAACTGGAAGGAATGGCGGCCAAAGGAGGTGTTGGCTTTGGGGATGACCAGTGAGATATACCTGCTGGAGCGCATACTACGGGTGGGTGTTGCTATGGTGACCAATGAGCTAAGATAAGGCGGGGATTTAACTAGAAGTGATTTATAGATGACCTGGAGCCAGTGGGTTTGGCAACGAATATGTAGTGAGGTCCAGCCAACGAGAGCGTACAGGTCACAATGGTGGGTAGTATATGGGGCTTTGGTGACAAAACGGATGGCACTGTGATAGACTACATCCAATTTGCTGAGTTGAGTGTTGGAAGCTATTTTGTAAATGACATCGCCGAAGTCAAGGATCGGTAGGATAGTCAGTTTTACGAGGGCATATTTAGCAGCATGAGTGAAGGAGGCTTTGTTGCGAAACAGGAAACCGATTCTAGATTTAACTTTGGATTGGAGATGCTTAATGTGAGTCTGGAAGGAGAGTTTATGGTCTAACCAGGCACCTAGGTATTTGTACTTGTCCACATATTCTAAGTCAGACCCGCCGAGAGTAGTGATTCTAGTCGGGCAGGCGGGTGCAAGCAGCATTCGATTGAAGAGCATGCATTTAGTTTTACTAGCGTTTAAGAGCAGTTGGAGGCCACGGAAGGAGTGTTGTATGGCATTGAAGCTCGTTTGGAGGTTTGTTAACACAGTGTCCAATGAAGGGCCAGATGTATACAAAATGGTGTCGTCTGCGTAGAGGTGGATCTGAGAGTCACCAGCAGCAAGAGCGACATCATTGATATACAAAGAGAATAGAGTCGGCCCGAGAATTGAACCCTGTGGCACCCCCATAGAGACTGCCAGAGGTCCAGACAACAGGCCCTCTGATTTGACACATTGAACTCTATCTGAAAAGTAGTTGGTGAACCAGGCGAGGCAGTCAGTTGAGAAACCAAGGCTATTTAGTCTGCCAATAAGAATGCGGTGATTGACAGAGTCAAAAGCCTTGGCCAGGTCGATGAAGACGGCTGCACAGTACTGTCTTTTATCAATCGCGGTTATTATATAGTTTAGGACCTTGAGCGTGGCTGAGGTGCACCCATGACCAGCTCGGAAACCAGATTGCATAGCGGAGAAGGTACGGTGGGATTCGAAGTGATCGGTGATCTGTTTGTTAACTTGGCGAAAGGCAGGGTAGGATGGATATAGGTCTGTAACAGTTTGGATCTAGAGTGTCACCCCCTTTGAAGAGGGGGATGACCGCGGCAGCTTTCCAATCTCTGGGGATCTCAGACGATACGAAAGAGAGGTTGAACAGGCTAGTAATAGGGATTGCGACAATTTCGGCGGCTAATTTTGCTTATTGAAATTCTCGATTATCGTAGATTTATCGGTGGTGACAGTGTTTCCTAGCCTCAGTGCAGTGGGTAGCTGGAAGGAGGTGCTTTTATTCTCCATGGACTTTACAGTGTCCCAACATTTTTGGAGTTAGTGCTACAGGATGCAAATTTCTGTTTGAAAAAGCTAGCCTTTGCTTTCCTAACTGATTGTGTATATTGGTTCCTGAGTTCCCTGAAATGTTGCATATCGCGGGGGCTGTTCGATGCTAATGCAGTACGCCCCAGGATGTTTTTGTGCTGGTCTAGGGCAGTCAAGTCTGAGGTGAACCAGGGGCTATATCTGTTCTTAGTTCTGAATTTTTTGAATGGGGCATGCTTATTTAAGATGGAGAGGAAAGCACTTTTGAAGAACATCCAGGCATCCTCTACTGACGGAATGAGGTCAATATCCATCCAGGATACCCGGGCCAGGTCAATTAGAAAGGCCTGCTCGCTGAAGTGTTTTTGGGAGCGTTTGACAGTGATGAGGGGTGGTCGTTTGACCGCGGACCCATTACGGACGCAGGCAATGAGGCAGTGATCGCTGAGATCCTGGTTGAAGACAGCGGAGGTGTATTTAGAGGGTAAAGGATGATATCTATGAGGGTGCCCATGTTTACGGATTTAGGGTTGTACCTGGTAGGTTCCTTGATAATTTGTGTGAGATTGAGGGCATCTAGTTTAGATTGTAGGACGGCCGGAATGTTAAGCATATCCCATTTTAGGTCACCAAGCAGTACGAACTCTGAGGATAGATGGGGGGCAAGCAATTCACATATGGTGTCCAGGGCACAACTGGGGGCTGAGGGGGGTCTGTAGCAAGCGGCAACAGTGAGAGACTTATTTCTGGAAAGGTGGATTTTTAGAAGTAGAAGCTCAAACTGTTTGGGCACAGACCTGGATAGTATGATAGAGCTCTGCAGGCTATCTCTACAGTAGATTGCAACTCCGCCCCCTTTGGCAGTTCTATCTAGATGGAAAATGTTGTAGTTCGGGATGGACATTTCTGAATTTTTGGTGGCCTTTCTAAGCCAGGATTCAGACACTGCTAGAACATCAGGGTTGGCAGAGTGTGCTAACGCAGTGAATAACTCCAACTTGGGGAGGAGGCTTCTGATGTTAACATGCAAGAAACCAAGGCTTTTATGGTTACAGAAGTCAACAAATGATAGCGCCTGGGGAGTAGAAGTGATACTGGGGGCTACAGGGCCTGGGTTAACCTCTACATCACCAGAGGAACAGAGGAGGAATATAATAAGGATACGGCTAAAGGCTTTAAGAACTGGTCTTCTAGTGCATTGGGTACAGAGAATAAACGGGGCAGATTTCCGGGCGTTGTAGAATAGATTCAGGGCATTATGTACAGACAAGGATATGGAAGGATATGAGTACAGTGGAGGTACACCTAAGCATTGGGTAACGATGAAAGAAATAGCATCACTGGAGGTACTGATTGAGCCGGTCTCCGCGTGTATGGGGGGTGGGACAAAGAAGCTATCTGAGGCAGGTTGAGCAGGACTGCGGGCTTTACAGTGAAATAGTACAATAACAGTTGACTCTCTTTGAGTCAACTACTCACCACATTTTATGCAATGAGGTGCTAGCTGTAGCTTGTGCTTTCAGTACAATATTTATTCTCTGATCCTTTGATTGGGTGGACAACATATCAGTTCATGCTGCAAGAGCTGTGATAGGTTGGAGGACATCCTCTGGAAGTTGTCATAAGTACTGTGTAAGTCTATGGAAGGGGATGAGAATCATGAGCCTCCTAGGAATTTGTATTGAAGTCAATGTACCCAGAGGACGATGGAAACTAGCTGTCCTCCAGCTACACCATGGTGCTACCCCAGACAGTGCTGTTGAGGCTACTGTAGACCTTCATTGCAAAACAGTGTGTTTTAATCAATTATTTGGTGATGTGAATATATTTAGTATAGTTTTATCTAAAAAAGATCACCATTTATCACCATTTTTATTTTTTATGAAATTCACTGAGGAGGATGGTCCTCCCCTTCCTCTTCTGAGTAGCCTACACTTCTACAGACAGATTAGTCTTCTCTTTTCAGCAAAATCCATTTGCTTTCCAACCTGGGTTTCCCGCGATTGTATTTGAAAAATAGCGAAAGGCCTGTTTTGGCTGCATGCTGTTCACTGACAGATTTGCCATGTGTTCCTGACTGTAGGCATGCCTTGTGATTGGACTACACACAATCCACAGCTAGGCTATTAAAACATAAATAAGCTATTGATCCTCTGTGGCTAAATTATAGGCCTACTCCTGGTATAGTATTCTGAATTATTTAATTTCATTCTGAACAGACAGCAGTCATTCTATAACTTTGGCACCTCCAGCATCCTTCCCGCGGCTATGATTCTGTAAGGAAATAAATCATGAAGTTTTTTAGGGAGCAGGAGAATTACAGAGAAGGCAACTTGAATTAACTCTGATTGATTTTATTAGAATTTGCAAATACAGATTTTTATTTTCATGCCACAAGCGGTACCGCATCCTGGCCAATGGATTCCGGAATGAAGCAGTCCAAAATTGAGAGGTGCCGGATCCTGTTCCGGCAGGATCCGGCTCAAATTAAGAACTGGATGTAATACCGTTTTGTGTGCAGGTACGATTCCTTCACATACAGATATAGTACACTTACGGTCTATTACAGGTGATTTTTGTTGTTGGACATAAAAGACTGTAAAATCACCAGGAAATCAGCTCAAAGTTATTTTAATTTAGGAAATCTGTTCTCAAGTATTCCCTCGCATAAATAGAGAGACATATGTGATCATATCCCAATATAATCAAGTTTTGAAATGATTCTGTTTTTATCAAATACTACAGTGCATTCGGAAAGTATTCAGACCCCTTCCCTTTTTTCACATTTTGTTACGTTACAGTCTTATTCTAAAATTAATTAAGTAAAAATTATTCCTCATCAATCTACACACAATACCCAATAATGACAAAGCGAAAACAGGTTTTTATACATTTTTGCAAATGTATTAAAAATAAAATACAGAAATACCTTATTTACATAAGTATTCAGACCATTTGCTATGAGACTCGAAATAGAGCTCAGGTGCATCCTGTTTTCATTGATCATCCGTGAGATGTTTCTACAACTTGATTGGAGTCCACCTGTGGTAAATTCAATTGATTGGACATGATTTGGAAAGGCACAGTCAGAGCAAAAACCAAGCTCAGAGACAAGATTGTATTAAGGCACAGATCTGGGGAAGGGTACCAAAACATTTCTGCAGCATTGAAGGTCCCCAAGAACACTGTGGCCTCCATCATTCTTTAAATGGAAGAAGTTTGGAACCACCAAGACTCTTCCTAGAGCTGGCCTCTGGCCAAACTGAGCAATCGGGGAGAAGAGCCTTGGTCAGGGAGGTGACCTAGAACCCGATGATCACTCTTACAGAGCTCCAGAGTTCCTCTGTGGAGATGAGAGAACCTTCCAGAAGGACAACCATCTCTGCAGCACTCCACCAATCAGGCCTTTATGGTAGAGTGGCCAGACGGAAGACACTCCTCAGTAAAAGGAACGCCCGCTTGGAGTTTGCCAAAAGGCACCTAAAGGACTCTCAGACCATGAGAAACAAGATTCTCTGGTCTGATGAAACAAAGATTGAACTCTTTGGCCTGAATGCCAAGCGTCACGTTTGGAGGAAACCTGGCACCATCCCTACGGTGAAGCATGGTGGTGGCAGCATCATGCTGTGGGGCTGTTTTTCAGCGGCAGGGACTGGGAGACAAGTCAGGATCAAGGGAAAGATGAACGGAGCAAAGGACAGAGAGATTCTTGATGAAAACCTGCTCCAGAGCACTCAGGACGTCAGACTAGGGTGAATGTTCACCTTCCAACAGGACAACGACCCTAAGCACACAGCCAAGACAACGCAGGAGTGGCTTCGGGACAAGTCTCTGAATGTCCTTGAGTGGCCCAGCCAGAGCCCGGACTTGAACCTGATCGAACATCTCTGGAGAGACCTGAAAATAGCTGTGGAGCGACGCGCGCCATCCAACCTGACAGAGCTTGAGAGGATCTGCAGAGAAGAATGGGAGAAACTCCCCAAATACAGATGTGCCAAGCTTGTAGCATCATACCCAAGAAGACTCGAGGCTGTAATCACTGACAAAGGTGCTTCAACAAAGTACTGAGTAAAGGGTCAGAATACTTGTGTAAATGTGATATTTAAGTTTTTTATTTTTTATAAATTTGCAAAACTTTCTAATCAATTTTAGAATAAGGCTGTAACATAATATTTTTGGGAAAAAGTAAAGGTGTCTGAATACTTTTCGAATGTACTGAATATCTGTTTGGGCTTCTTGCCGTCATTTAGTAGTGTACAAATAATTTAGAATTATATTCCGGCCCCCCGACCATCCGCTCAAGAAAGAATCGACCCGCGTCTGAATGTAGTTGGGGATCCGTGATCTATTAGATTCACATTCAAAGCCCTATCATATACAGTAGGCTCAAATTCCCCATAGGTAAGAAGACTATACCGATTGATTCATAGTAACTATCCAATAAGTTACAGATGTAAGATCTTAGTTTGAGCCAGTTTGCTACAGCAGGAAAAAAAATCCTGCAACAACAGGAAATGTGAATTATTTTTAAACCTCAAATATACTACAAGTTTTACATTGCAAGTCAGTTCTCCAGCAACAGGGTGATCAAATTAAGATCCTACATCTGTAGGATTCAACCATAACAACTAATGTCACACTCAGTATTACATCACTGTATGACATCACTGTATCTTCTCTCTCAGGAGGAAGAGGAAAGGGAGAGGTGGAAAGGGGAAGGCTAAATGTGGTGGTCGTGGCAACCAGAAGACTCGAGACCAGGCCAGTTCCAAACCACCAAGTAAAACACCTCAGCGTGATCCCGCACTCTCCCCGACAACCAACCTGCCAATCACTGCAGCCAACCGATCTGAGGCAGCACAGAAGCCTGAGGGGCCGGATAAAGAGCTCACACCAGTCAATGAGGGACAAGAAAAAGCTGAGATTGAGGAAAGCAATACAGGTTAGATTTAAACTTATTTAGGAAAAGTTGTTATGTCACGTGGATAGAAAGTAGATGGCTAGAAGACATTATTCTCATGCCTATTCTTGCTTTTACCAACAGAAAACCAGGTTGTCCAATCAGAAGTCTCACCTGACACAACTAGCCAATCAGGCACATCCTTATCTAACCACTCTACAGAGGAGGTGGGGCCAGAGACATCTCCTGACCTATCGAATGGCCTATCACCTAAAGCCCCTCCTCTCCTAAGGGAATTGGACACAGAACTCCTCCAATCAGGAAAGCTGATGTTGACAGGTAGGTTGTTTTTTATATCCATCTCATTTAATATCCTTCCGTCCCTTACTTTCCTTTTATTCTTACTTATCCACCCTTAACCACTCTTTCTCCACTCATGCCACTATACTCCTTTCACCCTCTCTCTCTCTCTCTCTCTCTCTCTCCCTCTGTCTCTCTGTAGGTACGGTGGACAGGCTGGGACGGGCTGTGGTTATCACTGAAACGCATCTCCCAGAGGACGGTTGCCGTGCGGACGAGATGGGCCGTGTCTTGGCCTGTTATCACAGGATCACCCGGTAATACTCTGTCACTATGTCAAACTGTCCATATCACAGTCTAGTCCCCAAAAAATATTGTAAAGTGGTTATCCCACTGGCTATAGGGTGAATGCACCAATTTGTAAGTCGCTCTGGATAAGAGCGTCTGCTAAATGACGTAAATGTAAATGTAAATGTAGTCTGGGGGACCCTTTATAGCGTAACACTGGCAGCTTCCCTATATAGTGTATTTATTCCTTGTGTTATTATCTTTATGCATTGTTGGGAAGGGCACGTAAGTAAGCATTTCACTGTTAGTCTACACCTGTGGTTTACAAAGCATGTGACAACTACAAATTGATTCGATTTGTTTTGAGCTAGTCTAACAAACTGTGATACTTTATATAGTGGTTTTTATAGTTGTTTTTGACAGAAACTGAAACATGTTATCCCGTCTTCCCCTCTCCCCCTCCCTCTATCTCTTTTTTCCTCATTCAGCCCTTCTGCTAAAGAGCGTGGTCTAACAGTAATAGTAGACAGTAGACAATCTCCTCCCTCCGCTCTCTGCCTCGCCGCACTGAAACAATTACAGGTGAGGAAGAGTTAAATGTTGAAGTGCTAAGAGTGTTTATACATGTATGTGTTTATATGTAGACGTGTTTATGTTGAGAGGGCGTCTCTAATGTGTGTTTGTACGTCTGTGTGTGCATGCGTTCCAGGCTGTGGTCCCGGGAGGTCTTGGCTCTGTCCTCATTCTGGTGGAGGAGCAGCAGCAGGAGTCGTCTCCACACACTCTAGAGGGAGTAGAGGTGACTACACACACACACACACACACACACTTCTTCTCTCATTTATCTCCATTTGGCCTCTGCCCATGTCACTTTAATAGAAAATGATGTCATATGTTTTTATAGAACGGACTATCCTTCATCCTCCTCCCTACTCGTCCCTTCAGTGACAATATTATAATCTTTTTATTTTACATCCATGTGCTTATCTACACTAAAGATAACAATTACATTTTAGAAAAACAATGGCAACACTAGCTATCCTCTCATGGAATTTGAAAGGGCTTAATATTTCTATCAAGCGTTTCAGCTGTCTTGATATTCTAGCTAGAAACCATATTGATATAGCAATGCTCCAAGAAACACACCTGCACCAAAGGTACACACATAGAATAGGGAACCATTTGTACAAACTGGTTGCTTTTTCATCAACCCAAAACAAAACTAAGGGTGTAATCATAATGATGAATAAGAAACTCGAAATCAACTTCCTTGGTAAAGGCAAGACCAAGAAGGCAGAATCACTTTCCTTAAATGTATCCATAATGGAAAGAAAATTGCCTTTAATGTGTATGTTCCAGATTCATATGATCCTACATTTTTTGATTCTCTGAACAGCATATTGATCGAATTAACTGAATTCCAACTCGTTATTGGGACAGACATGAATGCCATTCTGGACATGCAGAACAAATCTAATAAGACCAACTACAATCCACAGGCAACCAAGGCTCTACAACATACAGTATACTCTCTGATTACAACCTCATTAATGCCTGGCGAGCTCATAACCCTAAAGCAAAAGAGTGCACTTTCTATTCAAACAGGAGCAAAACATTCTCCCAAATCGATGTTGGACTATTATTTACTCCTCTATGTTCTTTAATCAAGAAAATAGAAATACGACATATGAGGCTATCTGATCATTTTGCTTATTACTGCCAGATACACATGTCAGAATCTCCTACAAGAGACACAAGATGGTGCTTTAATGTTTGCTTACTACAAAATCCTACTGTCTGTGAACAATTTTAAACTGAATTGAATTAATTCATAATGATTAACAAATATTCAGTCGATGATCCTCCGATTCTATGGGATGCCATTAAAGGTTTTATTAAAAACAATGCAACTGCATTTGTATCTGGACAGAATAAATCACAATTAAAGAATATATCAGAGTTGGAAAAGCTGTTAACGAGAGGGTTCACAAAAAACAATTTTTTCAGAATAGGGTAGTGACTACTCTCTTCAAAGTTAAGACTGAACTAAATCTATTGATAAGACAGAGAGCAGAGTTTGCCATCCATTGAGTTAGACTCAACCATTACTTCCATGGTAATCGACCCAGTCACCTACTGGCTAATAAGCTTCACAGTAATGATCAATTAGCGGCTATTGCAACTATTGAATCTGAGTCCGATTAATTACCATCAGAACCCAAATTAATCAACCATTGATTCTATCGTTTCTATAAAGAATTGTACACCTATGATTGTAAATCCACATAAGCCAGTTTGAGTCCTTTTTAAAGGATATAAGAACTCTTCTCTCAACTGAGGAAGCAGGCTTGCTGGAAGCCCAAATCTCTCTCCATGAACTCAAAAGGGCATTGGATAACATAAATAAAGGCAAATCACCTGGTTGTGACGGTATCCCTCCTGAGATCTATTACATGTTTTGTTACCAATTAGATCCACTGTTACTTGAAATGATTAACACAGCTGTTCACAAAGGTTCATTTGTAAATACGGCACTAATTTCTCTTTTATAAAAAAAGGTAAGGACGTCACCCAGTGCTCTCACTACCGCCCTCTATCTTTGATAAACACAGATATTAAACTGTTTTCAAAAATTCTGTTGTCCCATCTTACTTACCCAAATTGGTACATCTGGACCAAAGCAGGTTTGTTAAAAAAATATTATTCTCAGATAACCTCCGTCGTTTATTACATATCTTACATGCTTTATCAGAGACCAAAGCCGGGAAGTTCTATCTCTCGACACAGAAAAAGCTTTTGATAGACTAGAATGGTCATGTCTTTGGTCGGTTTTGGAACATATGGGACTTGGCTCATTAATATGATTAAAATACTATATGCCAAACCCTTGGCCATGGTAATAACAGGAAATACCTGCTCTGTTCTGTTCGGAATAACTAGAAGTAGCAGGCACGGTGATCCCATCTCACCTCTGCTAATTTTTATTGTCTATGGAACCCCTGGCCCAGGCAATTCGACAATCGAAAGAAATTACACCAATATCTATCAATTCTACAGATCATGTCATCTCATTATACACTGATGATATCTTACTTTATCTAGACAATGTATCTCAATCCTCCCCAAAAGCTTTGAAGGTCATAGACAAATTCAGCTCCATCTCAAGTTAGAAAATAAATCTAACCAAACCTGCCCTAATGCTTCTCAAGACCCCGATGGAGGACTCCATCTCTACGTATAGAATCTCAATCGTTTCCCATTTTAAATATTTGGGAATTGATATATTTCCATCCTTCCCTTGTCTCCCCCTTCTGGCTATTGGGATAAAATCCATAGTGCAGTTTCAAAATGTATACTGAACAAAAATATAAATGCAACATGTAAAGTGTTGGTCCCATGTTTCATGAGCTGAAATAAAAGATCCCAGAAATGTTCCATATGCACAAAAAGCTTATTTCTCTTAAATTGTGTACACAAATGTGTTTACATCCCTGCTGATTATTAAACAGCATGATCATTACACAGGTGCACACTCTAAAATGTGCAGTTTTGTCACACAACACAATGCCACAGATGTCTCAAGTTTTGAGGAAGCATGAACTTGGCATGCTGACTGTAGGAATGTCCACCAGAGCTGTTGGCAGAAAATGTAATGTTAATTTCTCTACCATAAGCCGCCTCCAACGTCATTTTAGAGAATTTGGAAGTACGTCCAACCGGCCTCACAACCACAGACCACGTGTAACCATACCAGCCCAGGACCTCCACATTCGTCTTCTTTAACTGCGGGATTGTCTGAGACCAGCCACCCGGACAGATGATGACACTGAGTAGTATTTCTGTGTAATAAAGCCCTTTTGTGGGGAAAAACTCATTCTGATTGGCTGGGCCTTGCTCCCAAGTGGATATGGGGTGGTGGGGACTGACAACCAACCTGTGTTGCTAGGCGGGGTGTGAAGGGGTAGATGCGGTGGGTTGGACGGAGACATGTTGGACAGGGGGGAATGGGATGGGGAGTTGGAGGTGTAGGCCCACCTATTTTTGTTTCTCTCTTCTCTACATACCAATTTTATAATGACAAAATCTTGTGTGATCTTTTTCAAACCACTGTGCCAACCCAAACTTAGTTGGCTCAGATATATTTTTTTCACATTGTCCTTTTCATCACAGTTCCAGCAACTATGGTCAATGCGTAACCAGACCAGCTCAGTACAGCTTGATTTGGCTTGGCTCCGTTTGGCTCAGTAGTGTGAAAAGCCCTCTAGATTCTGGCCCTGTATCACTTCCTTCCCAGAATCTGATCTTCTTTTCTCTGTGTCCTGTGTAGGTGCACACGGTGCGAGGGACAGGGGTCCTTCAGCAGTATATAGACAGGCAGCAGCTGCCCCTGGAGATGGACGGAGACTACAAACACTGCCACTCTGACTGGCTGGCCTTCAGACTGGTGAGAGGGGGAAGGAAGGAGAGAGGATGAGAGGGGGAGGGGACGGATGGAGGGAGGGAGGGAAAGAGAGGAGAAGAAGAGAGGGGAAGAGGGGAGAGGGAAGGCAGGGAAAGAGAGAGAGAAAAGGATGTTCCCAGCATGTGTCAGGCACTCAGAATGTCATGTTTAGCACTTAGAATGCCAAGACTTATAGTCATAAAGTGCAACCTATTCTTTCTCAAATCAATTCAGATTCCACATGCAGCTAAATCAATACGCCGCTATTGGCATTTTGAATATGAGATAGACCCAGACTGACTGGACTGATTTGTCAATTCACACTTATCTCAAATTGAATAGGCTGTACTTTATGACTATAAGTCTTGGCATTCTAAGTGCTAAACTTGACATTCTGAGTGCTAGACGCACAAGATCGCACACACGCACACATACACTCACGTATGTTACCCATGGCATTTGACTTGAATTAAAAAGTTAACTCACTAAAAATGTCATTTCTTTAAAGGTGCACTATGCAGAAATCAACCATTTCCTGGTTGCTAAAATTCTAATAGTTCGCCTATTTCAGTTTATGTGACAAAACAAGCAACAGTGTAGAGAGTCATTGTACCATCTAAACCATTGTGAAATATATTTTCCATAACCCTAAATATTGTATTTTCAGTTGTTTGAAGCTGGTGTACAAAACCGAAAGTAAAAGACGCAAAACTAAACTTAAGAACGGGAAGCATAGAAATAGCACACATAGAACAGATCTACTGCTTCTTAGACTTGCTTTCAATGAGAATGACAGATTTATAACTCACATTTCTATGTGATTTTGTCGGGTCGCCCAAAAAGTTACATATTGCAACTTTAAAGTTATGAAATCAGCAGTATCAATGGTCACGTTTTCACCATCAAGCCCTTCTATGTCATGTGCAATATCAGCTAATATAGGTGTGTCCCAAATGACACCATATTCCCTATGTAGTGCACTACTATTGGCCAGAACTCTATGGGCCCTGGTCAAAAGTAATGCTGTGGCCCATAGTAGTGCACTATGTAGGGAATAGGGTGCCGTTTAAACTATTGACTAACTGTACTACGTTACTCCTATCCTGTTTCTGCTGTTAGAGTGTGGAGAGTCTAACTGAGTGTTGTGAGAGCGCCCTCTCTCTGTTGGAGGATGCACTGCAGTCTATGGACACAGCACCACTACCAGACTGTATCAAGGTAGGATACATGCATTACTGTATCACCACATGTATTTGGTCTAACATGGTACCACACAAGTCAGTGAGGTGTTATGGGGAGAAATACTAGCAGTAATAATTGAGAAACTGAATTGAACTTGAGAACATTTCAGTAAACTTTAGGAACTTTTAAAAAAGTTGAAGAACTTTTGAGTAAATGTAACATACTTTCTGTGTGAACCATCTGGGTATACAACACAACACAAGGTTAATCTCAGTATATTTTTTACTATTTTCCAGAATGTTCCTCTAAGTATGGACAAACACAGACAGCTGATGACGAGCGTCCTAGTCGACCAACGGCTGACTGAGCTGCAGCGGAGGGGCGGGGCCTGGCTGGCAGGGCTGGCCAATGGCACATCAGGACTAGCAAAGCGGTCCCCAGACTGCAGGTACCACCATCTACCGTGTCCCATCAGTGATAATGCAGTTCAAATAGATTATCCTATCATAGATATAATGTATGAGATAACGGTTCCTATTGTAATACTTCTCAATCTGCTATCTATTTCATTAAAGGGATACTTCAGGATTTTTTTTTTTACCTACTTCCCCAGAGTCAGATGAACTCGTGGATACCAGTTTTATGTCTCTGTGTCCAGTATGAAGGAAGTTAGAGGTAGATTTGTGAGCCAATGCTAACTAGTGTTAGCACTATGACTGGAAGTCTATGGGTATCTATTGTTTTGGGCGAATCCTAACTTACACATTTTCACTTAGTCATGCATTGATGTCAATGGGAGAGTAAGTGAATTTTCAACTTAAGTGGAAATTAGTATTCGCTCTTATATGATCATATTCTATATGACCTTTGAACTCTGCGCCTTCAGGGCTGCTCTGGCTGCGACCTCTAACCTCTATGACAGCGTGGATGATGCCCTCCACCGCCTCGTCCGCATGTCCAATCAGAGGGGCAGTGACCTGGAAGCCCTCGGCCGATTGGATGCCATGGTGGACAAACTGGAAAAGGTAGGAGAGAGAGAGGGAAGCACAGAAAGAACACTATAGTAGTATAATAGTACAGTGTGGAGCAGCAGTTAAATAGTTCTCTCTTTGAAAAGGTTGTTGAGAGAAAACAGACTGTTGTCTTACAATTTGATACTAATGGTTTTTCAAATGACTATTATTTCATAGTAATTTCACCCTCCCTCCCTCCCTCCCTCCCTCCTCTCCCATCCCTCTCAACCTCTCTCTATCAGTGTGAGAGGGAGATAGAGCAGATCCAGGATCAGTTGGAAGACTACAGGGAGCCTCCCATCTCTCTCAGCAGACTCTCCCTCAAACAGCAGAAGTTCAAGACTTTCAGAGAGTCGGCCAATGTGAGTGTGTGCGTGTGTGTGTCATGTGTGAGTTTGTGTTAATGTGTTTCTGTATAATATCTATGTTGCTCATCTGTATATTTTCTGTGTGTGTGTGATGTGTGTGTGTGTGCGTGCGTGCGTGTGCATAGGAGCTGCACACTGTGACCCTGGCGGTCCTTGGAGATCTGGAGAGCTGGTCTGAGCTGGACTGGGGGGGACTGAGAGAGGTGCAGGTCAGGGTACCACCGGTCAGAGAGAGACTCAGAGACATGTCTCACTGTCTGTCTGACTGCTGGACAACACTGGACAACACACAGAGACTACTGTCCACACTGACCGAGGTAAACACACAGAGACTACTGTCCACACTGACCGAGGTAAATATACGTACCAGTGGAGGCCACTGATGGGAGAATGGCTCATAATAATGGTCACAACGGGGAGAAAATGGAATGGCATCAAACACCTGGAAACCATGTGTTTGATGTATTTGATACCATTCCACTGATTCCGCTCCAGTCATTACCACGAGCCCGTTCTGCCCAATTAAGGTGCCACCAACCTCCTGTGATACATACAGGTCCAGTCAAAAGTTTGGACACACCTACTCATTCAAGGGTTTTTCTTTATTTTTACTATTTTCTACATTGTAGAATAATAGTGAAGACATCAAAACTATGAAATAACACAAATGGAATCATGTAGTAACCAAAAAATTGTTAAACAAATCAAAATATATTTTATATTTGAGATTCTTCAAAGTAGCCACCCTTTGCCTTGATGACAGCTTTGCACACTCTTGACATTCTCTCAACCAGCTTCAGGAGGAATGCTTTTCCAACAGTCTTGAAGGAGTTCCTACATATGCTGAGCACTTGTTGGCTGCTTTTCCTTCACTCTGCGGTCCAACTCATCCCAAACCATCTCAATTGGGTTGAGGTTGGGTGATTGTGGAGGCCAGGTCATCTGATGCAGCATTCCATCACTCTCCTTCTTGGTAAAATAGCCCTTACACAGCCTGGAGGTGTGTTGGGTCATTGTCCTGTTGAAAAACAAATGATAGTCCCACTAAGCGCAAACCAGATGGGATGGCGTATCGCTGCAGAATGCTGTGGTAGCCATGCTGGTTAAGTGTGCCTTGAATTCTAAATAAATCACAGACTCATCAGACCAAAGGACAGATTTCCACCGGTCTAATGTCCATTGCTAGTGTTTCTTGGCCCAAGCAAGTCTCTTCTTCTTATTGTTGTCCTTAAGTAGTGGTTTCTTTGCAGCAATTCGACCATGAAGGCCTGATTCATGCAGTCTCCTCTGAACTGTTGATGTTGAGATGTGTCTGTTACTTGAACTCTGAAGCATTTATTTGGGCTGCAATCTGAGGTGCAGTTAACTCTAATGAACTTATCCTCTGCAGCAGAGGTAACTCTGGGTCTTCCTTTCCTGCGGCGGTCCTCATGAGAGCCAGTTTCATCATAGCACTTAATGGTTTTTGCAACTGCATTTGAAGAAACTTTCAAAGTTCTTGACATTTTCCAGATTGACTGACCTTCATGTCTTAAAGTAATGATGGACTATCGTTTCTCTTTGCTTATTTGAGCTGTTCTTGCCATAGTATGGACTTTTTCTTTCCTTCTTAATGCATTTGAGCCACTCTGTTGTGTTGTGACAAGGTAGGGGTGGGTATACAGAAGATAGCCCTATTTGGTAAAAAACCTTCCACAAATTAACTTTTAACAAGGCACCTGTTAATTGAAATGCATTCCAGGTGACTACCTCATGAAGCTGGTTGAGATAATGCCAAGAGTGTTCAAAGCTGTCATCAAGGCAAAGGGTGGCTACTTTGAAGAATCTCAAATATAAAATATATTTTGATTTGTTTAACACTTTTTTGGTTACTACATGATTCCATATGTGTTATTTCATAGTGTTGATGTCTTCACTATTATTCTACAATGTAGAAAATAGTAAAAATAAAGAAAAACCCTGGAATTAGTAGATCTGTCCAAACGTTTGACTGGTACTGTACAAACATACATTATACCGTACACACATACATGAGACACATAGACAAAGACACAAGCATGACACGCTCAGTCACGACACACACGCACTCATGCACACACACACACATACTGAAATGCGCACAATTCGAACAAGCGTACAGTAACAGCAACACACACAGTTATGACACTGTCAACTAACCCCTATTTGTCATTTACATCACCCCTCCAGGCCAACCAGTGGTGCGACGTCATCTCCTCCACCTCACCCTCCCCCTCCACCCCCCTCTCCTCCCTCCCTCCCATTCCGCCATCCCGTTTCCAGGACGCCCGTGCCTTAGCCTTGGAGCTGGGTGGTGGAGCTCTCCTGGACCTGTGGTCTCAGACCCTGGAGCGATACCAACGCACCGTGGCCCAGGTCAGTCATTCAGTCTATCTATCTATCTATCTATCTATCTATCTATCTATCTATCTATCTATCTATCTATCTATCTATCTATCTATCTATCTATCTATCTATCTATCTATCTATCTATCTATCTATCTATCTATCTATCTATCTATCTATCTATCTATCTATCTGTCTATCTATCTATCTATCTACACTCAGAAAAGGTGTATCTAGAACCTAAAAGGGTTCTTCGGCTGTCCCCATAGGAGAACCCTTTGAAGAACCCTTGTTGATTCCAGGTAGAATCGTTTTGGTTCCAGGTATAACCGTTTTGGGTTCCATGTAGAACCCTTTCCACAGAGGGTTCTACATGGAACCCAAAATGGTTGTACCTGGAACCAAAACTGATTTTACCTGGAACTAAAAAGGGTTCTCCTATGGGGACAGCCGAAGAACCCTTTTGGAACCCTTTTTTCTAAGAGTATATCTCGCTACTGTACTTATAATATATTCACAACACTCTAAGGAGATTTGTGTCTGTTTATGTAAAAAAAAGAGCCATGGTATGTGAAGAGGAAATTAAATGTTTACGATTTCTGTTCTGTGGATATTACGGGTGCACTATGCAGAAATGTCTCCGCCATTTCCTGGTTGTTAAAATTCTAATAGTTTGCCTAATTTCAGTTTATGTGACAAAACAAGCAAGTATAGTGTAGAGAATCATTGTACCATCTAAACCGCTGTGAAATATATTTTCCATAACCAACAATATTTTATTTTCAGCTGTTTGAAGCTGGTGTACAAAACCAAAAGTAAAAGACGCAAAAACTAAACTTAAGAATGGGAAGCATAGAAATAGCACACATAGAATAGATCTACTGCTTCTTAGACTGGCTTTCGATGAGAATGACAGATCAATAACTCATATTTCTATGTGAATTTGGTCGGGTCGCCCCAAAGGTTACATATTGCAGCTTTAAGCGGTGGTGTTACCATCTAAGCGTTTGTAAAACACACACAGGCATGTACACACACGCAGGTCTGGTGTCCCATGCTAGAGCTCACATCTGGGCATTGTGAATATCTGAATCCCTCACACACACACACACCATGCCAGGGCTCACATCAGTCACCCTTTTGGAACCATTTTTTCTAAGAATCTATCTATCTATCTATCTATCTATCTATCTATCTATCTATCTGTCTGTCTGTCTGTCTGTCTGTCTGTCTGTCTGTCTGTCTGTCCTGTCTGTCTGTCTATCTATCTATCTATCTATCTATCTACGGTATCTACAGTATCTATCTATATCTACCTCTCTCTCTCTATCTATCTTTTAACAATGCCCACCGTTTCTGCTACTGCTCCTCAGGTCAAACCCAGGCTGCTGCAGCAGGCAGAGCGGGGTCAGAACCAGGGCCAGGCCCGGCCCAAGACCCCCTCCACCTCCAGTCTGTGGGACCTGATGGGGCCCGAGGGAGAGGGAGACTGGGGTGTGGGGGCCGGGGGAGGGGAAGGAGGCCTCCAGTCCTGGGGGTCCCTGGCTTCACTGTTTCGCCCACAGACCTGCTCCACCCTGAAGATAGGAGAGGAGAAAGGGAATAAGAAGGGGGGAACAGGAGGAGGAGGTGGAGGAGGAGGTGGAGGAGGAGCGGGAGGAGGAGCGGGAGGAGGAGCGGGAGGAGGGAAGTTTCTGCAGAATCTGCTGCATCCGGCGAAGAAGAGTGTAAGTGTTTGTGTGTGTTTGTGTGGTGAGGGATGGCTGTAAAAACTGCCTGTATTTATGTGTGTGTTTTAGATTATAATGGATTGCATAACATCTCCAGTGTGTTAGCCATCACCTGCTGGGTGTTGACGAACAGTGGCGATTCAGCATGTAGAATCATCGGGAAACAGAAAATGACGGCCGATATTCTGGTCAGAGGTCACCCGCTGCTGTTCGTCTTCACGGTGTGTCTCTTTTACATTGTAGGATCATAGATACATCACCTCACTCTCCCTCTCCTCTCCCTCTCTCTCTCTCTCTCTCTCTCTCTCTCTCTCTCTCTCTCTCTCTCTCTCTCTCTCTCTCTCTCTCTCTCTCTCTCCCTCTCCTCTCTTCCCCCAGCCCACAGAAGCCTCTTTGCCCCCCAAGCCCCCCAGGAAGCGTCACCCCAGCTTCGACCTCCAGGCCCTGCTGGCCCCCCGTCGGGGCCCTGCCACCCCCAGGCCCATAGAGCCTCCTGTGGGTGCAGCCAGCCGTAACTCCCCCCTCTCCTGGCTGGGCCGCCGGGCCCTCGCAGACCCTGTTATCACCGCTGGGATGGCAGCCGCTGTCCCTGGATGGAGAGAGGGAGGAGGAGGGATTGGGGGAGGAGGAGGAGGAGGAGGAGGAGGAGGAGGAGGGGTGCAGGGGGGATCAGGGGTGCTCATCAGAGGGGTAGAGGTGAGCAGCAAGGAGGTGGTGGACTACACCGGGACGCCAAGACAACACGTGCTGCTGAGCCGAGCGGAGAGGGAGACGGGAGGGGAGAGGCAGGGCACCACCACCGCACAGAGGTATGGTGTGTGTGTGTGTGTGTGTGTGTGTGAGAGAGAGAGAGAGAGAGAGAGAGAGAGAGAGAGAGAGAGAGAGAGAGAGAGAGAGATAGAGAGAGAGAAATGCAGCCATCGGCACTAATTATAATGTACAGGCTAACTTGACATGAAAGTGAAAAGATGTCTGTGTTTGGCTCTTTTAAGTCAATTTACACATAATTTAGCAAGTCAATATTTGGTCACAGATAAATGTCCCATTAATGACTTATTTTTTTTCTCCCTCCCTCCTTCCCCTCCCCCACACTCTCTGTCCCCTCTCCCTCTCCTCCCTCTCTCCTTATAGTAAACTGTACCTATTGTGGTGCAGGATGTTGAGTTCAGAGAGGCAGTACGTGGCCGTATTAAAGGGGGTGGAGGAGACCTGCCTGCCCCTCCTGGAGGCTCCAGACACCCCCTCCTCCCTCAGGGGGAAAGCAGACCTCCTGTTCCCCAAATGGGCCAGCCTCAGCTCCTTCCATTCGCAGTACCTCCTCCCAGCCATGGAGGGAGCTCTACTGCAGAGTCTGCTGCAACAGGACCTCTTCAGTAAATACGTGAGTGGGGTGATCATAGAGTTGGAGAGAGGGCTGTTTTAGCATGGGCAGCGCCATCGAGGGTACTGTATAAGTAGACAAAAAATAAGAAATTAATTACTTTACTCTCTCTCCCTCTCGCACCCTATCCCCCCCCCACCCCTCCCTCTCTTGCTTTTTCCCTCTCTCTCTCGCCATACCAAACCCCTCTCTCACACACAAATAGAGAGAGGAGTTTCTCCAGTACTCTCACTACATCAGGACTAAACCAGAAGTGGACTCCCTGTTGGTCACTCAAGCTGCAGACTTCTTCAAGGTAAGAGACTGTCGTATACCAAAACAATTACATTAAAACAGCATCAGTGGAGGCTGGTGAGGGGAGGACATCTCATAGTAGACTGGGATGGAATGAGTGAAATGTTTGATGTGTTTGATACTGTTCCATTCCTACCACCAGCCACCACGGAACTGCATCATATTCACTAGCTAAAGCCCATTACAACAACAGTATTATAAAACAAAGCCAGATTTGGGCTGTTTCATATAGTATGGGCAATTAAAACAGCATTGTATACACTGAAGCCAATTATAATTGTAATGTATGCTCAAATAACTCATTAGTGTTGGATTACACTAAAACCAATCAACAGTCTTTCAGTATACAACAATAAACACAGTCTGATACACACATAGGGCATAATCTTATCACAGCTTTAGACTGAGAAAACATGAAAAGAAGAACATCACATAGATGGTTTTAGTAGAGATCTGAGGGTTGAATATTTACTGTAGTGTAGAGCTGTGTCAAATGCTGGAGGTGCAGTATTTAAAACGGCCACAGGGTGACAGTAAAATATACATTATTTCAAAGTACTGTGTAGCTCAATTGGTAGAGCATGGCGCTTGTAACGCCAGGGTAGTGGGTTCGATCCCCGGGACCACCCATACGTAAAACATGTATGCGCACATGACTGTAAGTCGCTTTGGATAAAAGCGTCTGCTAAATGGCATATTATTATTATTATTATAATGAAAATGATTAAGATAATAACGATGATGATGATGATGATGATGATGATGATGATGATGATGACCATACTGTAGATGGCAATGATGCTGAAGTCCTCTCCTCTCTCTCTCTCCCTCCTCCCCTCACCTCCTGTTCCCTAACCAGCTCAGACTCCCTTCCAGCCCTCCTCTCTCCCCCCTGTCGTTCCCCCACTGTCTCCAGGCCCCTACACAGAGACTGGAACAGTACTGCGATGCCTTGGAAGAGCTGGGAGGGCTAAACCCTGCCTCCGACTCCTCCCTCTCCGTCCTCAGACACGTCCAGCGTCATGGCGAGGACCTCCGGGCCAGCGACCTCATCGTCGGGTGTCCGGTGAGAACGCCAGACTTAAAACTACATTCTCAGCTCTGGGCGGAAGCCAATTTAGAATAGATAAATCCTCACACTGGTATAATGCTCCCAAAGTGTTGGACAAGGTTTCAACCTTAAATTGGGTTTGCGTCCCAAATGGCACCCTCTTGACCAGAGCCCATAGTGCACTTCTTTTAAGAAGGGCCCATAGGGCTCTGGTCAACAGTAGTGCACTGTGAAGGGAATATAATGCGATTTGGGACTTCTTCAGGACAAACAGTTCAATAAGTACACCTGCATACATTCGCTTGAAGAACAACATTTGTCCATAACCACAGATCTAGAATCAGCTTTCCCTACCTCAGATCTAACCACAGCCATTTGGGGGGTTAAGCCAAAACTGACCGTAGATCAGCACCTAGAGGCAACTTGTTTCATCCTACTCCTGTTTTAGAAGCCCATATCTGCTTCATGTCCTGTAGTTCTGTTGCTACTGTGACACAGTTCTATCAATCATCATGGTGACACACACACACACATACTCATACGCACATACTCATACACGACACACACATACATGCACGCACACATACACACAGTGAGCGAGAGAGAGAGAAACACATGCGCACGCAAACACACACACATACACAAACACACACTCACTGTCAGTCTGACTGATGACATAATGCTTTGCTGAGTCACCTACAGAGTGGGTAACATAGCTAGGCTAAACCCTCCCACTTAGCTAGTAGAACACACCCACAAAAACACATGAAGGCACGCTGACACACAAACACATGCGTACACACACACAAAGCTCTCTGAAAGTTAGCTAAATGACAGAACAGAGAGCGGTGGAGGAGTTAGGTTTGACGCATAGCTCCGGTTACATGAACCTCACATCACCGGATTGTTAAAAATAGCTCGTTTCAAAAGCTGCTCTTGAACAACATGAAGTGGTTTGGTGGGTGGTAAACTGTGTGTGTGTGTGTGTGTGTGTGTGTGTGTGTGTGTGTGTGTGTGTGTGTGTGTGTTAGGTCCCAGTGGCGGAGCGTGGAGAGCTGGTGCGTCAAGGGGAGCTGTTGGTGTGTGGGGGGACCAGGAGGAAGAAAACAGGGGTGAGGAGTGTGTTCCTCTATCAACACCTCATCATCTTCACCAAACAGAAGAGCCCCAGTCCAGGACGCACCGCCTACAGCTTCAAACACAGCATCAAGGTAACAGACCCAGACATAGGAAGGTAGTATGCAAACACATGCACACACATACACAAGTACACACGCAGACGCACATACATACACATACACCAACACGGGCAACCACGCATACACACACGCACGCCCGGAAACACACACATATGGCCTCATTCAAACAAAACAGAAAAATTGGACACAAAATCCATAACTTCCAAAACAGCAATGAAATGAGACAAAGATGCTATACCATATGAATCCACTCTGTGTGCTTTTATTCTCCCTCCCCCCTCCCTCCCTCCCTCCCGCTCTGTCAGACGGGTGAGATGGGTCTGACCCAGAGTGTGGGTGAGGAGGGGGTGAGGTTCGAGGTGTGGGTGCGTCAGGCCCCTCGTATCAGGGACTGCCTGACCCTGCAATGTCAGAGTGGAGAGGAGAGGGCAGCCTGGACACACGACATCGCTCAGCTCCTCTGGACTCACGCTATACACAACACAGGTACAGTATGACCCCTGACATTTTACCCTGACCCACAGAATTAGAATAAGATTCTAGTTCTATGCTCTGAACCCTCACCTCTCACCCCAGCCATATACAACACAAGTGCCATTCGATTGTAGCGGCCTTAACCCATCACCTAGCGACCTTGTCAAGAGGTTCAGATAAGGTGTAGGGTTGACCTGGGTTTGAGTCCTGGTCGGGGCCACCCCTCAAATTTGCTAGTATAAGATATTGCATATTGCTCTCTCTCTCACTCTCTCTCTCTCTCTCTCTCTCTCTCTCTCTCTCTCTCTCACGCGCGCGATCGCTCTCTCTCTTTCTCAGAGTTGTGTCTGAAGGAGACAATGTGTATTGGTGTGTCCAGTAAGATACTACTAGATGTCACAGGAGCACCGGTAACATCTGAACTCGACTCTATCTACAATCTCAACGACAGAGGTACACACACACACATACACACACACACACACACACACACACTGTCAGAAACCACCCATTTATTATTAACACCCTGTATGTAATACATATACTGTCCACCAGATGTCTCCCTGTGAATAATGGTATTTCACAGTGAAGAATCATGCTCTGTCTTTCTGCGGTGTTGCAATATTAATTTCATTACAAATGCTTTATTGGTAGGCCACTGACCCCCACTCTCTTTTTCTCTCACTCCCTTCCCCCTCTTTCTCTCATCTCTATCCCTTCTCTCTCGCTCCCTCTCGCTCACTTTCTCTCTCATCTCTATCCCTTCTCTCTCGCTCCCTCTCGCTCACTTTCTCTCTCATCTCTATTCCTTCTCTCTCTCTCCCCCTTTCTCTCTCTCTCTCTCTCTCTCTCTCTCTCTCTCTCTCTCTCTCTCTTTCTCTGTCTGTAGTCCACAGTAGCTGTTCAGACTCTTCCTCTGTTGGCAGTCAGAAGGAGGGGGGATCCCCAGCCTCTGGGAGGGGACACACACAGGTGAGTTTCACACACGCACACATGCACACACATACACACACACACACACGCACACATTCGTGCATACACATACACACACTCACACACATGCAGAAATAGACAATCAAACACACACACATTCACACTGTGCTTTAAGTGTGAGATGTTTGTCTCTACAGAATCAGTCTCCTTCCACTGCGGTGTAATCTTCATCTCAACAACAAACGTGAGTGATCTTATTTTACACACTTTTACTGTAATCTCTCTCCATTTCCTCCATCGCTTCTTCTCTCCATTTCCTTGTCTGCCCTGTCAACCCACAATCTCTTTCTCCTGTTAAACTTCTAAATCAGTGACTTTCTACATGCTGTGACCCATTTTTCTCCTGAATGACTGACACACCTGTGTTACAAATCACAGGTTAACCCTTTATAGTTCATATCTAACACCTCAACCTTCCTCTACCTTTCTCTGTTCACTCTCCTCCCTTCCCTCCCTCCCTTTCTGTCCAGAAACTGGATTCTGGACTCTGGACCTAATAAAGACCAAAACAACATCTCTATGCAAGCCACTGGACGGGACAAACTGGACAAGAAGTAAAGGACCAAATTGAAAATGGGCATACAGGAAACAAAGAGACATTACGGCTCTAACTAACCCAGGATCTAGCATCAGCAGAGCCTGTTGTGGGTGGCCATGTTGGATCGGCCAGACCCAGTTGCTCGCCGAGTCATTGATACCGTGGACTCTCCAGCCACACAGTAGAGCCATTGTCCTCCCTCTGCGGCTACCCACTAGGCCAAACCACTCTGCCTGAACCACTGACTGGCGGCCATGGCCTTCGTGCTTCCACTATCTCCTAAAACATACAGGAACATTATAGGAAATATAGCTTATACTGACTTTATTGGACATTATTCAAATGTATCCTTTTACAATGCTGTTTAAACAGTGCCGGTTTGTTGGGATGTTAGTACTGTAGTAGTATTATAGATTCTGTCTGTGTGGCTATATGTGGTATAGCATAGGCTAGGTGTGATTGTGATCTATGCAAATGAGTACATGTATGGATGTATGAGTGCACACATTACGCAGAGTGTGGAACACACGCATACACTCTGCAGACAGTCTTATTGTGCTATAGACAGTAGAGTACTGTTCCGACACTGTGGCCAACTCACAGCTCAGTCCAGTAGCTATAGACCAACCAGTGGACAGATATCCACTAACGACAGGCATGGTGCTCTACTCTCAGTAGGTCTTGCCTGGAAGTAAAGAATATAATAAAGAATAACATGGAAAGGAAACGTCAACATCTTATTATAACTAAACTATTAATCTAAGCACTAAATAAGCTGTTAAGGAGACACTACCAAAGCAAGTGAGAATGTGGGCCAAATGGTTACAGTGTGTCCAATTGTTATTGTTGATGGTTTAAGGAAAAGTGGTATTAAGTCTTATTCAGACGTAAGTCTTATTGTAACCGTATAACTTGTTTGGGGCCTTATAGCATTGCTCTGTATAAAGCTACAGTAGCTATGGGATTCTATGCAGTATTCTCGATGGGTCTTTTCAATGACTATTTAATTGATTGATTTTGTTATTAATCTTTTTCATATAAGCCATAATGTTGTAATCACCAAGTGTACAAACTTTTTGTTTGTTAGCATAAGTTAATGCAATATGAAGTTATTTAGGTATAGTGTGTAAAATGAGTTATTTGTTCATGTCTGAGTAGTATGCTTATAGCTTTTATACGTTATTAAAAATGAAGGAAAGTATTCCATGAAATGGAGATGTCTGTTACCTACTGTATTATCTTGTTATGAATTTATTGATTGTGTATTTTTTATGCAATATGCACTATTAGCTTACACCTCCAACTTAATACAATACAATAAGAAGAAGAATAAATCATTTGGTGTGTGCTTATATTTGTCCTATTTAACACATGCACAAGTGTGTGTTAATGTGCATGTGTGATTTGGAATTGTGTTTTTTGCATATCCCAACTCTCCCTGAGACACCCTCAGAGAGTGGGGTCACAGCCAGGGTCAGCCATTAGGGTTAATTGCCTTGCTCAAGGGCACATTGACAGATTTTCACCTTGTCGGCTTGGGGATTCAAACTAACTAACCTTTCAGTTACTGGCCCATCACCCTTACCGCTAGGAACCTGCCGTCCTAATACAATACAATGCAATACAATACTATGCTATACTATAATATACAATCAAATACATGAGGGTTGAGTTAATTTACAACTACAAATATAAGGATTATTAAGTATAACAGTTGTGTTTCTAAGCTAGAAAATGTTGGGAGTTAACAGAATTTAAATTGTGTTCTTGTACAATATAAAGGGCGCTATTAAATAACCTATATGTCAGCTATATAGCTACGTTAGTCTGTCTAACATGGTCAGATTGTGGCAACTCTTGTCTCTCTCATTATCGGGAGTTCATGGGTGTCATAGCAACTCCATATACAAATTAAAAAGTGCAAATGGGATTGAACCCATTGAATCAATATCTAATTTGTCTGACTAGGAAGGTATGTAGTACTCACACAACAGTACTAGCTTGGTGCTGCAGAATATATTGCATTATATTGGGAGCTATTGTTTTCACCACGAGGGAAGTCTTATAATATGACTTCAGAATAATATACACCTTTTAACCATCTAGCTGTAGATTTTCATATTCAAAGTGTCTTTTTATTATGCTTTGGTCATGATTCGTAGTTTTACATGTAAATACAACTTATTTTTTTTCAAGTGTTTTTTAAGTGTCATCTTAACTATGCAGTTTTATGCCAAAAATATACTGATGTTTACATTTTTTAAAGAAATGCTTGTTCTGTTTTTGTTGAATGTCTGCATGCTCTATGGTTACAATGTACTTGATAAGTAGTATACTTCAATTGTACTTCAATTGTACTTGGATTATTTGTACCTTTCTTATTGAAATAAAACTGGACGGAAGCCATTGAAACTCAATAACCTGTTAGCGGTATTGCTTTGGATACAGAGGATGTGGGTCCCACTTTGACTTAAACCAATGTATTTACATAGTAGTAGAATAATCAGGTACAGTGTCGTTACAGACCGTGTAGCTACACATTGTTACATAATACTTACTGCTAATAGCAATACTTACTGCCGGTTTGCAGTTTGTGTACTTGCACATTGATCATTGCACAGAAATGCACTAATAATGTGTTTGTACTGCAACTGTATTCCTCTAGATCAGCAGTAGTTAAACTCCAGCAAACCCACCAACAAAACCTTGGATGACTAGACGACTATGCAGAGAGGGTCAAATACTCCACAGAGAAAGAAGAAAGGAGTGAGTGAGTGAGTGAGTGAGTGAGTGAGTGAGTGAGTGAGTGAGTGAGTGAGTGACAGAGAGGAATGAGGGATGAAAAGTGGGGAGAGGGAGAGAAAGAGAGGAGCGAAACAGGAAGGGACTGATCCTCTGACAGAAACGGGGGAGCGAGAGAGGACAGGAGGAGAGGGAAAGAAGACAGTAGACGGGTATGATGGGAAAGGAGAGAGGGCGCGGGGGCAGACAGAGGCACAGAGAGGGGAGACGACGTGCACGAGGGAGAAGAAAGAATGAAGGAGACAGAAGAATAGAGAGGGGGCTTATAGAAAAAGAGAGAGAATAGGGAAATACACAAAGAACCAGGGTGGTATTGCAGTACAGGCAGGCAGGCAGAAAAAAAGTAGAGAGAATTAGATAAGTTTTTATTTTTGCAAGGGGAATGCGGTGAGAGAGAGAGAGACAGAGAGAGAGAAAGTGAGAATGTGGCAGAGGGAGAGAGAGTGGGGCAAAGAGAGAGAACGAGAGAGAGCAGCAGTGAGAGAGAGGCAGAGAGAAGGAAAGAGAGAGAGGGGGGCAGAGAGAACAGGGCAGAGAGAGAGAGTGAGAGAGAGAGGTAAAGGGGGGATGTTGACAAAGCAGAGAGAGAGTCTAGTTGAACAAAGAGAACGTGGAGAGAATGAGCCGGGTGCAACATCAAAGGGATTTTTCGGGCCTGGTTACCGGGACAACAGACATTTGCATGCGATTAGCTTTTTACATCATATTAAGAAGGGGAAGGGGGTGAGGGAGGGAGGGAGGGGGAGTGCCAGGGGCAGGGAGCAATAGATCATACAGTGGAGTGAGAGAACGAGACGGTGTGGCGAAAAGAGAGAGAGAGGGGAGAGAGGAAGAGGAAAGAAATCGGGGAAGTGAGAGAGAGAGAGAGAGTGGGAGAGAGAGAGAGAGAGCGAGGGGGGGGGGGGGGGGGGGGGGCAGGGAGGTGACAGAGAGAGAGAGAGAGACATTTGTCATCTCCTGTGGATCAACTGACTTATGGGCTGCCAACAGAGATTTCAGTTTTTAAGCCAGTATCAAATCAAATCAAATAGTATTTGTCACATGCGCTGAATACAACAGGTGTAGACCTTACAGTGAAATGCTTACTTACAAGCCCTTAACCAACAATGTAGTTTTAAGAAAAAAAAGTGTTAAGTAAAAAATAAAAGATAATTTTCCAATATAAAAATATATACAGTTGAAGTCGGAAGTTTACATACACTTAGGTTGGAGTCATTAAAACTCGATTTTCAACCACTCCATAAATGTATTGTTAACAAACTATAGTTTTGGCAAGTCGGTTAGGACATCTACTTTGTGCTTGACACAAGTAATTTTTCCAACAATTGTTTACAGACAGATTATTTCACTTATAACTCACTGAATCACAATTCCAGTGGGTCAGAAGTTTACATTCACTAAGTTGACTGTGCCTTTAAACAGCTTGGAAAATTCCAGAAAATGATGTCATGGCTTTAGAAGCTTCTGATAGGCTAATTGACATCATTTGAGTCCATTGGAGGTGTACCTGTGGATGTATTTCAAGGCCTACCTTCAAAACCAGTGCCTCTTTGCTTGACATCAAGGGAAAATCAAAAGAAATCTGCCAAGACTTCAGAAAATAAAATGGTAGACCTCCACAAGTCTGGTTCATCCTTGGGAGCAATTACCAAACACCTGAAGGTACCACGTTCATCTGTACAAACAATAGTACGCAAGTATAAACACCATGGGACCACGCAGCCGTCATACCGCTCAGTAAGGAGACGTGTTCTGTCTCCTAGAAATGAACGTACTTTGGTGCGAAAAGTGCAAATCAATCCCAGAACAACAGCAAAGGACCTTGTGAAGATGCTGGAGGAAACAGGTACAAAAGTATCTATATCCACAGTAAAACGAGTCCTATATCGACATAACCTGAAAGGCCGCTCAGCAAGGAAGAAGCCACTGCTCCAAAACCGCCATAAAAAAAGCCAGACTACTGTTTGCAACTGCACATAGGGACAAAGATCATACTTTTTGGAGAACTTCCGACTTCAACTGTATATATATATAGAAAAATAACAAATAATTAAAGAGCAACAATAAAATAACAGTAACGGGGCTATATACAGGGGGTACCGGTACAGAGTCAATGTGCACGGGCACAGGTTAGTTGAGGTAATTGAGGTAATATGTACATGTACATGGGGGGAGGTCAATGCAAATAGTCCGGGTAGCCATTTGATTAGCTGTTCAGGAGTCTTATGGCT